TGGCAGGAGGCATGGTTCTAGGTGGGCCAGGTTGGCAAGCATCGGGAGTTTGGTAAAACGCGAGTAATCGAGTAACTAACAGATACGAATATTTTCGCGTGTTTGACCCAGAAGGCTATTAAATTAACATACCGTTCGAGTTTGCTCCGAATTCGCTGTATCTCTTCCGGCGACGCGACGGTAAGTCAAGTTGCATTACTGGAACGGAAAGTCGCATGTTACTTCGACAGGATTCATCGACGCGCATACATACCTGCTCGCGGAAAGTCACTTGTTGACAGAGTCGAATGCTCGCAACTTCGCAATTCGCATACCAATTACCGGATCTTTACGCGTTTGTAGGACGCGCGAACCCTTCGAACGCGAGGAAACCGATTAAAAACGATGTCTCGATTAATGAAGCAAATTTTTCTCCGCTCGGACTTTAATGAAATTAATTGCGAAATTATTGCGAATCTCCGCGACGATCCTCGGCCTATTACACGATCGGACCGTTTACTTCGAACGAACGCGAATCCGGCAACTTCTCTTCGATGTCGTTAATTTCCGAGATCGATGATTTCCGATCGAAGCCGCGGGGGACGCTCGCTCGGACTGTTCGATTTTGTATCATCGAGCAAAAGTGCGAGCACAAAGCGGCGAAAATTGTGTCCCTGCGGATACATGTACATACGTGTGCCAAAACTCGTCGATGCGGTCCCGGAGCAAGAGAAAAGTGCCGGAGAGACGGACGCGTGGGCGGGGCAGAGGGAGGGGAGGGGGCCAGCGGAAATATCAGTTTTTGCTCAGGGCACGGATCTCGTGGAAAAGAAATGGAATTTTGCCAAGGCTGAGCCGCGATAGAAATGCCACCGTCTATTTTCTTCTGCAGTGAATGGCACTCGGCACCGGCACTCGGCACTCTGCACTCGGCACTCGGCACTCGGCATTCGGCACCTACACGCCGCGCCGCGCCGCGTCGCGGCTCTACACTCTGTTTCCCTTTTTGCAGGCATCGCATTAAACCTTCCTAATGCCACTTCAGAAAGCGTGGAGGAGGAAGACAGAAAAAACCACGTCCGATAAATCGATCGCGTTGAAATTTCTCAGGGAAGGACCGGGCCCCCGCCCCGTCTCGCTCCGCCCCGCCCCGCGGCCGGGCCGTGCGTACACTCACTGTACAGCGTAGAATGTACAGTACGGTGTACGGAAACGAAACGGAGCGGAGCGGCGCGGCGCGGCGCGCACAAAACGTGAGAGGAAAAGGTTATCGATACGAAATGCTCGGCTACAATCGAGTCTCTGTCACGCAGTGTTCCAAACATTTCGAACAGATTTGCTAAGAGCGAATCGAGGCTGCAAACACGGTCGTCAAAATTGTCCGATTTCAGTGGCCAGTTCGTAGAGGAAAGTCGTCAAACGTAAAATAACATTTTGTGTCTTTCGCGTGTCATCCTAAAAACTCAACCACGACACAAGCTTTTTATGGGCAATCCGTATCTACGCTTCGGTTCAAGACCGTTTAAAAAGGTTACTTGTTATAAACGATCGTCGATATCGAAACAACTTTAAACAATGATAAAGTGCGGCGAACATGAAATTGGTCGATTCAACGATTCGCTTACGGTTTTACATTCGATACTAAATAGAATTATTCGCGCGATTAGAATCGAAAATCGAAAATAGGTTTTTAGTGAATCTAGTCGCAAGATGTTCCTACTTTTAGGACCCGTTTCGCGGCAATTCGAGGATCGGTGAGTAACTTTCAACGAATTCAACGCGTAAAATACGAACGAGAAAAACGTTCGCAAGAATTCGAGGACGTTGTTGTTTCATTCTCGAGCTATTAACGTAAATATAACGCTTTTATACTTTATTCGTACCGCGGGTATATTAGGTAGCGACAAACGTTTCTTAACTAGATGCTGCATCGCATTGACCCAACCGCGCTTGCAAAAAGCATCAATGCGCGCAAGAACTGGAAAACATTCAATTTGAAATCCACTCTTTCCTTCGGACGTGTGTAACGAGACTTTATTATACTCGACCGTTCTTTGCGTTAGTTTTTCCGCTACATCATAATTTAACCGAAAACCATGAACGACAAAGATAAACATTTTCGGTTACCGGTACTTTTATCGATCAGAGTTACGCGTGGACGGTGGATTTTCATGCGTCTATCGATAAAACGCGCGTTCGATTCGTTAAAATTCTATCGTACCGTCCCCACCGAATCGCAAGATTCGAGAATACCATCGCTTTCGGATTGAAAAAGCTGTGGTGCGAATAGCAAAAAAATGCGCGACGCGTCGGATGCGAAACGCGATCGATGAACCTAACCGAAGCGAAACGGTTTTTAAGAAATTCCGAAGCGGCGATTTCAGGTTGCGGATAAAGAAGGAAACGGAAGGTCGATTAAGATCAATGACGGCGATATGTCCGAGTTAATTGAAAATAGTCGAGAACGCGACCGGTGATATATGTATTTCTCGGTTGTTAACCAGTATCGGTAGCCGGCAGTTTATAAGATGGACCGAATTCTTTACCGCTAAATGCCCTCTTATTACAGGGCCGGACAATTTATATCGAAAACAATGACCCTGGAGAGAAACTCCGAAGCCTGCGGTACGTGGACGCCGATATCGTAAAGATCCGTTCTCCGATCCAATTTTTCCCGATCGCTGTAATCGCCGGGTCGGTCGACGCGATCGATATCAGATTTTCATTTTTACCAGTTATTGAAATTAAAGAAAAGTTCGCTCGGGGTCGCATAGACCCATAGATAAAAAAATATGCGCGTATTCCATCCATGATCCATCGCATCTACGATCCGATCGCAGCGAGAAAAACGTAAAATGTGGAAGAACGTAGCCTCGTATTTTTTCGAAAACCTTGGAAACGAACCGCGTCGAGCGAACGTACCGTTTCCGCTGAACTATTCTTACTTTTCGAAACGATATTCGATAACCGCGGATCGCGTGCGTCCCGATCCAAACGCCTCGGGGCCGATCGCTCGAAATAAGTCGAACGGCGACGCAACTTTTTGTCAAAGAAATCCCGATTTTGCAGGAAAGTCGACGCGCGGACCAATTCGAATCCACTTCTGTGCGTACGTTCGTTATCGTACCGCGAGAAGAACGCCCCTTGGCAACAGATGTTCTCGTGTTAATATTATTTAAATAATTTAAATCCCAATTTTTTACTCTGTTCGGAGGAAATTCGCACCGATAAACGCGACGATGGCGGCACAGAAGTAGCGGACGAAGGAAAGAAAAGAAAAGTATTCGTTCCCGCGTATTCGAGCCGTTCTTGTTCCGAGAACAGATTCGACCGTTCGCGGTGCGCAAGAAATTCTAGCCTCGGAGCTTCTCAAATTGCTCGTTATTCGAGGAAAGCGATCGCATCGGATGCGATTCGTGCCGATCCAAAGAGAATGCTGATCGGTAGAACGCGATCCGCGGCGAGAGAATCGAATTGCAAGAAATCGCGAGCGAACCAAAACGAGTGAAAATTAATCGACGGCGATCGACGCTGCTCGGATCCGTGCCGAGCGCGAAAGGCCTTCGAGCAGAATTCAATAAGACTTCTCGTCGTCCTCGTCGTCTGTCAAAACGTTCGAATCTGCCGTCGCGAGGCGACGCGAGGCAACGCGCGGGATCTTGACAATTCTTCTCGAATAGCGGAAACCGCGGATTTCTTCTCGGATCGAGTTATATTACAGGGCATCCCGGGAATTAGATCGACTTCGATTGGTTTTAACCTTCTCCATGTGTCGATACGAATCGACGCACAGACAAATCGGATAACTGCCAAAGATTTATTTCATGGAAACTTCGCTAAAACGGGAAAATCGAATCGAGGGACCGCGACTGCTTTGATGGAATCTTTCTCTTTCGAATAACCAACCGCGTAACCTGTCGATCGAGCGATTCGTCCGTCCCGTAGATTTACAGGAGAACGCGTAGCAACGGACGAACGAAATTGCCTTGACAAAGATTTTGTCGCGATCAACGTCGAACCAAATAGAAGAGTCGATATCGCGAGTTTTATACGATATTCGCGATATTAACCTGTAGTTGGTATCTGTATCGCGGACGCGAGTCGGTCAACGAATCGTGTTTTTAATTATCGTTGCGAACATTCGGTTCGATAAATTGTTCTTGCTAGGAGAAGAGTCGTTCTTGGAAATAAGAAATTTTCGCGTCGAAGATTCGCCGCTGTTTCCGAGATACGCGTAAAAATTGAAACTCGCGCGACGCGCGACGCGCGGCGGAACGAGCCGAGCTCGAGGCCGAGCCTCTAAGTACACGTAATCCTTCGACACTTTACAAACGAGACCTCGCGCGGTAACCTGTTTCTTCGTTTTTCCAAATCTTTGCCGACGCGATTATCGATTATCGATTCTCGATATTCGCTCGCGCGTGTCCGCTCTCCGCGGAGAATTACGGAATCCTGCGTTCGCGCTGTTTGACCGTAGGATCGACTCGGTAGCAGCGACGTGGCACTAAAAGGGCTCCACGGTAAATCACTCGAACAAATTCCTTGCAAAGCAGCGAGCGCGGCGTGATATTCGAAAGGATTACGCGTAAGACGCGACAACGAGCAAAAGGGATTAGGCGGTCGACTTCGATACGCTTTTTCCACGACCGCCGGATCGATTTACACGATATGTATTCGACGATAAAAAGCTTAGGACTTCGACGTCCATTCGCGTAGGCAGCGATCCAACATTTTAGCGGCGCTTTCTAGCACTTTCTTAGCTACCGTTCGATCACAACGGTTGAACACCTCTTTATCGTCGACTTGTACGAACAATACGAAGCGAGAGAAGTTCAAATTCATTTCCAGTTGCTCGCTCGTGGAAGTTTCAACGTCCACGGATGTTGAGAGCACCGCTTCGCGGTACAGCGAAGACGCCTCGCGACGCGTTCCAGTTAATTGTAAGCCGTCTTCGGTACCGAGGACTTCTTCTTGTCAGATTTTGGCTTACTTTCAAACGAGAAATTTATCTTCTGTTACAGGTGCGCGCGAAGATGACAGCGACGAAAGGAAATACGTGGATCCGTTTTTCGAACCTGTAGCTTTCGATATTCCCGACGTGAACCAGGAGATCTCTCAGATCTACAACCAGATGTACAGATGGTACTTGTCCATGAAAGGTACGTAACACGAAAGTCCGTCGAGTTGCTCGGTTAAGCGGGCATGGCGAACGTCGTTTTCTCTGAATAACGTTCTTTGTGCAAAATCAACGCACGAATCGAAGCCGACCGCGAGTCTCGAAAGACGATTTATTTTAGCAAATGCCATGGATCCATCGAAATTGTTGAGAAAAGCAACGCCGCGGATTTTATGAATTTATGGGAGAAATTGAAATTGAATAGAATAAAATAGGGAACGGATCGAATGGAACTAAAAATGTCGACGCATCGATTCCAACTTCCAATCGAAGCAGACAATTTTTATTTTGCACTAAGATCCGCGGTATATCGATCGCGTATAGGCATCGTTTTTAATTCGATACGACTTTTACTTTTCTTTCAATTTTCGTACGGCATTTTTCGCACGAATCGTCGTATTTCCGACATCGATCGACCGATTTTCTGGCAGAGGCGGAGGTCTGTCCCGCCGCTGAATTTCATCGAGAATCGCAGGATGCCGCATCCGAAGCGCTCGCTCCTTGTTAGAGACGAGCGAACAACAAAGGTCTCGCAATAGATCGGCGCCCCCTCTGTCCGCTCGAGCGGCGCACGGTTCAACAATCGCAAACGTAAAATGACACGGGCCCGCGGACAACCGCGTTCGCGTTCCGCTTACGCGCGGTGTGTAACTTCCGGTACACCGTGCGCGATCCGAACACCCGCGTGCAAAATCCGCGCGCGTATCGTCGGCCGATCGTCGTTCCTCGCGCCGCGATTTTCGCTCGAATTCCCGAAATATCCCGCGTTTTGTCGCGACTTCGGAATAAGGTCGCCGCTCGTCCGCGAACGAAATTGCCGGGAAAGAAAATCGGTCGGTCGTGAAGCGAGAGTTACCCTAAACGGGCGATAACGATGGCCTGGCCCCTCGCTCGTAAGCAACGATGGAACCAGTTTCGACGCACGAACCGCGGAACGACCAATTCCAGCGCCTCGAGTCTCTGTTGCCCCTTCGCAAATTCGCACGCTGCGATATCTCTGCGGACCGCGTTTCGAGGACGAGCGTATCTTCTACGAGATCCTAGAACCTCGACGCTCGAACGCGTTCGTTTCGATCGTACATCTCTGACCCGTTCTTCGAACCTGGAATCTATCGTTTTCGCTTCACGACGACCGTAACGAACGGTCGTAACGTAATAAGAATTTTCCGAACCGCTCGATAAAAATTGCGCAAAATCACACCTTACAGCCGTCCGCAACCCTCGCCCGACTCGGTTAAAGTATTTCAACGTGTTCTTCTCGAGTAAAAACGACGAACCACTTTTGCACGATCGTGAACAAAAATCGAAGTATTCGGTTGGCCGACCGGAAACTTTCGACCACCTTCGAGTACGACGTTTGCAAAAAAGTAAGCAAGACGGGACGCGTCGCCGATCGGACACGTTATCGGCGGAGCGATCGACGAGACGAGCGCTGTTCCAGACCGTCCCAATCGTGCCGTCGAATCGATGCAATTATAGAATTATATCGACTATAAAGAAAACGAAGAAGACGGTTCGGGATGTACCGATGAAAGTAATTGGCAGAAATTATCGCCTCGATTAGCCGGTCGCGATTACCACGGCTCCGTTCGAGTCGAAACCGAGGAGGACCCCTCCGTTTCCTTTGTCCGGTCGTCGTTTTTTTTCCTTCCGTCGCTTCCGTAACGGAAAATCGATTTTATAGTCTTCGAGGCGAGCATCCGCGATTCGTTGCCAGTTGCACGCGCCTCCGCTCGCGTTCGCCGATCAATTTCGCGAATACGTCCGCGTACCGTTGCGACGAGTCGTCCGCGAAGAACGAAAACAAAAGGGGAAAGACAAAGGCGAAGGCGGAGACGCGAAAGAGGCGAAGAATCGGGGAACGAACGCGAACGAGGGGAAGATCGAAGCTACGGAGGACCGAGGAAAAAGCCGGAGCAGGCAAACACCGAAGAAGAAACACGGAAAAACCGTCCGATGCGCGACGAGCCGAAAGATCGATGACGTTACGGCGTGGAATTCGCGACGAACCGGAGTTGAAACGGTGTCGCGTTCTCAGAAACGCGCGGACGCGTAATATTATAAAATAAAAGTCCGCCGCGCCGCGCGAACGTTTCACGGTCTTTCGCGATGGCGCGGCAGCGGCCAAAGGTCGTCGGGTATCTCGTTTAATATCGTATTATCGACTCCCGGCAGAAAACGAATAAACCGAACAACGGGCCGGGCCGAGTGCAGCGCGCGCGTCCGTGTAACCCGTGCACCGATACACCGTGCGTGCAGCTGGAATTTCACGCGTCTCGAATCTAGTATTTCTCTTCTCCCTTTTTCTTCCCCTGGTCCGCGAATGAAATTTTTTCGTTGCTTCAACCATTTCGTTTCGCGCCGAGGGAGCGAAAGAAAATAGCCCGCGCTGATTACGCCCTTTCCACGCACGGCGTTCGCGCGGAGACGCGAAGACCGGCATCGATTCCTGCGATTACGATATCGCCGGTCGCGAATTTCGCCGGACAGCCGTTCCGCTAAATTGTTAGAAACCGGCGCGTCGGCGAACGTTTCAAGATCGAATCCGGCTCGATCCGATTTTCCGTGGTTCGACGGAATACGGGCAACGGTGTCGCCGATTACCAAATTCCCGATTGTTATCGGCGATTCGCGTCGAAAAATGAAATATCTTTTTAAATACCCAAGTTCGTCGAAATACTCGCTACGTCCTAGATTATACAAGATTTCCGATACGCGGAGCCGCGTAAAATGTCGCGCGAACGGCAAGCGGAAGACCCTCCGTTCCGACGCAACGAATCGACCGAACGTTTCTCGGACATTTATCGTCGGACGATTCCGTATTCCTCTATATTCTTTTATACGAATCGGCCCAGCGAACGCCTGTTTCATCCTTTTCGACGGAACCTATTTTCCGAGCATTTTTTGCGGAGCGCTTCGCGCGCGTAGTAGGCTCATCGTCGGATCGGAACGTTTCCGTTCTCGAGCGTAAAATTTGGCCGTTCTTTAAAAGCAGGTGCTGCTTCTTTTCTCGGCAACCAGACAACTTTTTAATCCCGGCGCGGCGCGGCGCGGCGCGGCGCGGCGAGCTCCTCTTCTATTCCGGCAGCCAGCCGATACGTAACGCAGGATTTGAATAACTACTCGTCGAATCGTGCAATCGACGATTACCGAAAATTGCCGTTCATTCTCCGCGATTCTGCTTGCTCCAGATAATGAAGTACACGATCGACCCGCGCGCAATCGTACAGTTTTTTTTCTTCCTCCTGTTCCTTGTCCCGATTAACGGCGCTGCGCTGCGCTGCCGCTCGTCCGTTAAAAGACCTTTCGGCGGTGAAAGTGTGCGTCGCCTCGTCTCGCCTCGCCTCGCGTCGTCGCTCGGATAAAATTCATTATGCGCCGACCTTGGTACCGGTTACCAGAATCGACCTTTGAAAGCAAAACTTCACGGTGCCCGCGCAGTTGCATTTTGCAAAGGTTTACGCAACCGGGACACGTAACGGAGTCTCCTTTTGCGGGGATCCGCTCGCGAACCATTACGATATTATTCGAACGTTGCGATCGGAGAAGCCGATCGCGATTCGTGTCCGTCCCTCTTCTTCCGCGGGATTCGGAAACGAATTCTGGCACGAATATTTCGAACGATTTCGTTGAAGTTGGAAAAGGAAACAGCTTCTCGCGATGGAAGAAATCAAAAGATCAATTTTTCTTTCTTTTCTCTCTTTCATAACGCGATCGTAGCAACGCGAACAAAATAGTAACCCCCGATAAAAAAGAACAGCGATGCTAAATGTTGATAAAATCGTAGCGATATTTGTTAACAGAACCGTGTATTATTTATGACGCGATCGATTCGTCTTTGTATTCGTTTCAAAAATATATTAACGCAATTAGGTCGCGAAAATTAATTAGTTTAAAAGTTACGATTTTTGTCCCGGACGTCCACGAGCTCGCGTCGCTGCGCGGCGCTTCGAAACTCGAGACAATAGCGCCGGTTCTCTTCGCAACGCATTAATTAAAACTAAAACTGTACGTAATCTTTAGTCGGAAAAACGAATCTCGTTATTCCAGTATCGGATAAGTAGAACGAATCGCGTTGCCCCGTTGATTCCGCGGACCGGGCAGGGGAGTCCTTTCGAAACGAGGATTCCTTTCCTACTCGCTCGACGCGCGCGTACCTTTGTCTTTGACATTTCATACCCGCCTCGCACACAACTCTATATTCGCTTACAATTAGAGTTTAGAGGCTTCGCCTTTTGCTCGACCCTCCCGGTGCGCGACGGGTCCGGTCGCGGACGTTCGCCGAAACTCGACTCGTTCTACAGGGATACGATATTATTAATACGAGAGCGGTATTATTCGAAGCGATGCGAAACACAGATATTCTCTCCCGTTTCACCGAGCACCGAAACAGCGAAAAATATTCGAACAACGATGATGCGGTTAGCCGGAGAAAAACACGGGAGCCATCGACCGTATTCCCGTCAATTTCCCGATCGTTTCGTTCGCCGGTATTATCGACGACACAGAAAAATCCCGTAATCCTGTAGGACGCGATACCCCGTTGATCGATACCGAGCTCGCTTATAGCCACGATATTTGACGAACGAATTCGCGCGTATAATGCCGGACGCCGCCGCGTCGCGCGGCGCCGCGCCGCGTATCGTTACATGGAAATGTCACGAATTTTGTGCACACCGTTGAAACATCGACAGAAGCGTTCCGCCGATGATGAACAGCCGCAAAATTTGCCCGAACGAACAAGAAATCCGCCAGAATCGGAACTGTTGTCGTCGGACGAATAATTTGGTGCCTAGCAGGCGCCATTTTCAGTTACAATTTGGTATTCAGATCCGTTCGTTTCGATTAACGGAACCGGTTCTTCGAACTGATTTTCGCGGACGAACGTACACGTATGCGTAGTAAACGCGTAAAATCGTTTCGAATTGTACGAAAATCGATAGAGAGGAGGAGACGCGACAGTCTTATCTAAAAAGAAAAGGTATGTAAAATCTTTTTAGGCGACCCTCGTTCCTGTACGAACAGCGAAAAAAGCGTTCGAGGCGAACGACCAGGCGTCCGGCGTATTTCGAAATCGATCGATTCGTCGTCCATCGATCGTTAAAATAATTCGAAATTAAACGCGCGAGAAGTTCGGAGAACGGAACGTAAATTGTGTTTTCTTCCCGCGACGAAATCTTCCGGGCGACGAACATTTTCTGACGAGTGCTCGCAAAGACGCTGAAAGCGGTGTCAAGGCCTCGGTTATACCGGTTGTACACGCTCGGCTGGCCGGCTGGCTGGCTACATCGTTTAACGCGTGTAATTCTTGCGGGAACCGGAGAAAATTATTATACTGTTACCACAGTCATTGTCTCGAATCGGAACCGAACATTATCGGAATAATCGATGGCTCGCGTAAAAGTACACGTTAATTTCATTCGGCGTCTCGTTGCGTAAACAGCGCCAGATCCTTTCGGCCGTTTCGAGTCTAAAAATAGAAGCGTAATTTCGCGTTCGAGAGTTCTCGCCTCGCCGAGCGAGTTGTTCTCGAAGCGAGATAAATAATGGCAAATTGAATCGAGGGATCGGCTACGATTTCGATGCGCGGTGCGAATACGCTCGGCAAGTTTTCGCGAGACGCCGATGCTCGACGCTGGCCTCGTTCGCGCGATACAGCGTCAACGGCCCTCCGAGCCTCGGAGCCTTCGAGCCTTCGAGCCTTCGAGCAGCGCGCCACGCGCCGTAGGAGCAGAAAAGTGAAATCGAAATCCCGGCCGCGGGTAGGGCCTTGGAGCAACGCAAAAATCGATTATCCGGCATATTAGCATAATCGCCGCTGATCGAGGCGAAGATAAATATTGAATATAAATAGCATCGTTGCATCGCTGAGATAACCGCGCCGCGAATACGTTAACGAGCAACGTTATTACGCGTACACGGTTGCACACGGATGCGTAAAAATTACGTCGAATCGGCTTCTCTTCCGGCGGCTGACCGACGAAAATTCTACCACGAAGCTACTTTCGCGTCGCTTTTCACGAAACACGATTATTCGAGAGCCTCGCGGCTCATTTTTATAGTCGCCGATCGTCGACGATTATAAAAACGAAGATTCGAATAAAATAAGAAAATCGATAGCATCGCTTTCGCTAACGAGGACAACGTTTTATTTTATTATACCATCCGCGTGCGGATGGTTCTTGTTGGTTCGCGCGTGTATACACATGGACAGCGATAAAGCGTGCGAACAGAATTAAATAGAAATTTGCGCGAGTTCGTTAAAGGTTTCAGGAAGTTACGAAAACGACCGGGAAATTCGATGAAACATTCTCGCTGGGACGCCGTATTAATTTCGATACGATCGTCTCGCAATTCCGCTCGCGGTAAGATTGAAATCCGAACGGAGTCGCGTTCTCCTAATTGAGACAGGCTTTACCGTACTCCGATTACTTCGTTACGACGCGTTCGAGTTTTCGAACACCGGAACGGCTTCCCGAACGGAAACGTTCGCTTAAAAACAGTCCTGTTTCGGTTCGCCGAACAACTTTGTTTAAAGCTAACCGTGCCGCGGCTCGCGGAATTACAGGATCGGGTCCGATCAGGTCGCTTCCAGGTAGCTTCTATCGGGCGGGGTCCGTCGATCGCGAATCATTTTTCGGAAAACAACGTCGACGCGTAAACACGCGCATCGCGGATCGGATTCGTTCGGAAGATTCTTCGTCTGCTTTTGGACCTCCGAAAAAGAAACGAAAGATCGCGCGTTCGTTGCGAATTCTTGGCCATGAAACAACAAGTTCCCGGAAAGAACAAAGTTCTCGTACGATGAAAGGAAAGAAAAGGGAAGAAATTCCATGGAAGAAGCACGAAGCTTCCGCCGATCGCGTAATTCTTCGTTACCGTGTAATATCCAAAGATTTACGAAACCGTGCCGGCAATCGATATCGCCGCGCGCAAAGCACCGAGATAGTTATTTAATAATGTAATCGCCATTACGGTTTAGAACCCGTTGCCACCTGCCGATAAGTTGAAAAATTTCCTCCCGATAAAAACCGTCGAGTTTTTAGCGGCAAAAAGGCTATCGAGACCGCGCGCGCGCGCTCGGCTCCGTGAGCGCGCAACTTCGGACGTCGTTGCTGTTACGATATTATCGTCTACTCGAGCGAAAACGAGCCGGAAAATGTCGACGCATCGGCGTCGGATCGCGCGTAACGTCGAAGGTATCGTCGCGCGAAGCGAACGGACCTCCGTGAAAGCGAATTCGCCAAGACGAAAACCGTTTTAGGAGGAAACGGTTTTCCGAGGAGGAAAATTTCGGATCGGCTCGAACTCGCGGTGAAAACAATTACGGCGCGTCGCGCGAGTCGCGACCACCGAGGCTGCTTATCTTTTATTTATCGGTTTCCCATACCTCGGTAGAATCGCGTAAACGGGCCACCTTCGATCTACGAACATCCGCATGATTTCGTATGCAGGCGAGCTCTTCGTGCAAGGATTACTGAAATAAGAACACCGCGCCGCTGTTGCATTCGCCGCGATAACGTAGGAGAAACTAAAACGGCCTCGGTGGTGACATAGAAAAATCGCGTTGTTACGGACATTATTAAGCCATTATGTTACGTCGCTAATAAAGCGGTTGATCCGAACTTTCTACAGCGATGCTATAGAAATAATTACACCGTCTTACACACCCGGCTTTTAAATTATGCCAACGGGTCGATCCGTGCTTGTCGATGCGAGGCTTTCTCGATATCGTTTTCCTGTCCGAGGAACCTCTCGTACGAGCTAACTCGTTCTCGATTATGCTACTCGCATACGTGGACGCGCGCGCCGAACGAATCTCCGATCCTCCCGTAGAAGAATCGAGAACAAGAATAATTTCGGTTTTCGAACGTTCTTTCGCTCTTTTTCAGATCACTTGAGGGGAATGATGGATCCCGGATTGTTCGGCGGTCCTTGGAGCAAAATCCCTAAAACGGCGAACACGACCTCTACCACCAAGGTAAGTTCCGCGTCACGGTTCGAACTCGAAACCGAGCCTAAACTCTCCGGTTTCGGGAACAACGGCGCGCGTTCGCGACTTAAATGAAATTCTGTTTTCAGGTGATCGACGGACACGTGGTCGTGATCAACGAGACCACGTACACGGACGACGAGGACGGATACAAAGCTGTGTTGCGCTTCAGCGTGATCGACATCAGGCCCAAGAACGAAACGAACACGGCCGAGGAGATGACGGTGTCCCCGGTCGCCGAGGAGACCGATATCCCGAAGAACGAAGTGGAGACCCTCGATGCTTGAAACGTTTAAATCGTCGAAACGATTCGTCGCGAAATTGAATCCGAAGCGACGCCTTCTTCGAACGAATGTACGCGTCTCTCAGAATTTCGGAAACGTTTAAACGCAGCTTATTCTTGTTAGCGCTTCTTCTACCAGCGTATCGGCGAACTTCGAAGACGATCGCGAGCCAAATGTTTTCCGTTTCGAGGGCGAACGAATCACCGATTCGGATTCAATTTCGACGAGATCCCCCGACCGTACCGTTGATCGACCGACTATCGCGCGTCGATAGCGCCTCGACTATCGTAGTATGTTAGAAATGGTACATATACATATATTATATACATACGTTACCTAATAGTTATCTCGAACGCTATAACAAAGCGACATTGTTGTAACTCTTAAAAGTGTTTATTTCGTCGCGAACGCGACGACGAGCAAGCTGTCTTCCTATGCAGCGTATTCCATATAAGATTTATCAACAATACCGTATCCGCGAATCGAAGACGAAACGACGATATATTTCGAGCGATCGTACGTCCAGCTGCTGTGCGTTGGAAAGACCGATTTCTTCGACGCAGGCTCGAAACTGCGAAAACGCGCGTACGATGTGAACGCGATCGAAAAATACGAGGTACGTCCTTTTGCCGCGCGATCGCGGATGCGGTTGCAGATCGCGCTATCTTTAATATCCGACAGTGATAAGTATTTATAGAAAGAAGTGAGAAGCTCTTCCTATGTTACAAAAAGTAACAACAACTGCTGACAGGTGAATAAGATTTCTCTTCCGCTCTCCTCCATCCGGAACCCGCGTTCCTTTTCTAACTCCTGGAGAATCCTGACAAGAATATAGCGTATAACGAAAATTTTATACCAACATTTTATTTTGTTTGTACCGTCAACGTATTTCATTTATACCGATGAATCCTCGAAAGGCATTTAGAAGCGCGTAAATGCAGTTTAATATCAGCCAGCCTAAGAGACAGACGAACCACAATCATAGCTTCCGACTGAGAGAGGATTAAGCTGAAAAATAGATTCTCTATTTTTGTATAACGCACGATGTAATTTTTCGCCTGAAAATTATTTTCCGATGACAAATTTTAGTATATTATAAATAAATACCGTTGACACGAATCCGTTGTTGTTATTTTTCACATCGCGTACCTGGTTTGTTCTAAAGAATTTTTGTATATTCATTGATTCTAAACGGTCTTACTCCGCGTCGAAATTGATAAAAACTAAATTTTGGAAAAAATATTAATTTTTGAAAAATTCGGGCATGAAAAAACTATAAATCAAGGTTACAGAATTTATCGGGAGAATCTACCGTGCCGATATCGTATATAAAAACAAATGACCAAGTTACTAAACGTAATTAATTGCACTTTGAAGTTTGGTAACTTATTTTGTTAACTAATTATATATAAGTTTCTTGCGCGATATCGATGCAGCAGATTCTCCCGAATATTTCTGTGCCCTTGATTTCATTTTTTATGCAGACACATACGAGGTATCGGAATAGACCGGTCACGCCTCTTACGGAGAATGAACGAAGCTTAGTTCGGGGTCCGTACAGCGCCAATTGGACCAGTGGCAAAACGCTCAAACTGTTAGTCAAAATCGACTGTCGATAATTTGGCTAACAGTTTGGGCGTTTTGCCACTGCCCCAATTGGCGCTGTACCGAGTTCCAACCGAGCTTTACCTTTCCTCCGCAAGAGGCGCCACAGTCGCCCGCATCCGCCCTTACACCATATTGTCGAATTCGAATTTCAACCATAGTTTCCCAATCGAGAAAAAGGTAGCAGCCCTAGGGCACCGCGCCAAGATGGCGAAATGGTATGGAATGGCCTTTTCCGCGGATTTATTTACGAATTATTAACGAGAAACATTGACCAACGAGAGGCGGGTATGGACTCCTTACGCCAGCCGAGCTCGCCTCTCATTGGTCAATGTTTTCCGTCGATAAATCGTAAATAAAACCGTGGATTACATTTGCGCTAACGAAAAAAATTACTTCGAATGCCCTCGGCAAGTAAAATAATTTTAGGACACTTTGTATAATCTAAGATTGCTATAGTCCGTGTGGGTGTGGTGACGCAACAAAATTGCAGTCCTAGTAACATTTCAGTTTATCGGATGTAAACCTTCTTCGTTGAAGTTGTCGAGGTTAAACGAGTGAAAATCACTGCGAAATAGATACACACGTAGATATATGTATATAGGTGTTTGAGCTGTCATGCGGACGTGTCCCTTTCAATTTGTTGATTGCTTCGATAGAAAGTTTGACAAGTAGAGGAGAAGGCGAGTTGTGCTTTTGTAATAGTAAAACCGTAAATACGTATAAAAGCTGAGAATGCAATGCCAGCACGTAGACGACACGTTGGCTTAGAAGTAAACCATGATTTCGTGATTACAACCTCAAATAATCGCTGGCAGGACGGTACCATAAGTCCAAGAAAAAACAATGAAAGTGAAGGTTGTGATTTAATAGAGAACGAGAAATCAAAACTGAACACTGTACCAGCGACGATGACGTCGCGCGACAGGACCAATGAATTCGTTAACGCTATCCGAACGATGCAGAGCAGGACCACCGCTCGAACGGCGGTCATGCAAAATCCTCGTCGAGCACGACAATTGCAGAGCTACTCGNACTTTGAAGTTTGGTAACTTATTTTGTTAACTAATTATATATAAGTTTCTTGCGCGATATCGATGCAGCAGATTCTCCCGAATATTTCTGTGCCCTTGATTTCATTTTTTATGCAGACACATACGAGGTATCGGAATAGACCGGTCACGCCTCTTACGGAGAATGAACGAAGCTTAGTTCGGGGTCCGTACAGCGCCAATTGGACCAGTGGCAAAACGCTCAAACTGTTAGTCAAAATCGACTGTCGATAATTTGGCTAACAGTTTGGGCGTTTTGCCACTGCCCCAATTGGCGCTGTACCGAGTTCCAACCGAGCTTTACCTTTCCTCCGCAAGAGGCGCCACAGTCGCCCGCATCCGCCCTTACACCATATTGTCGAATTCGAATTTCAACCATAGTTTCCCAATCGAGAAAAAGGTAGCAGCCCTAGGGCACCGCGCCAAGATGGCGAAATGGTATGGAATGGCCTTTTCCGCGGATTTATTTACGAATTATTAACGAGAAACATTGACCAACGAGAGGCGGGTATGGACTCCTTACGCCAGCCGAGCTCGCCTCTCATTGGTCAATGTTTTCCGTCGATAAATCGTAAATAAAACCGTGGATTACATTTGCGCTAACGAAAAAAATTACTTCGAATGCCCTCGGCAAGTAAAATAATTTTAGGACACTTTGTATAATCTAAGATTGCTATAGTCCGTGTGGGTGTGGTGACGCAACAAAATTGCAGTCCTAGTAACATTTCAGTTTATCGGATGTAAACCTTCTTCGTTGAAGTTGTCGAGGTTAAACGAGTGAAAATCACTGCGAAATAGATACACACGTAGATATATGTATATAGGTGTTTGAGCTGTCATGCGGACGTGTCCCTTTCAATTTGTTGATTGCTTCGATAGAAAGTTTGACAAGTAGAGGAGAAGGCGAGTTGTGCTTTTGTAATAGTAAAACCGTAAATACGTATAAAAGCTGAGAATGCAATGCCAGCACGTAGACGACACGTTGGCTTAGAAGTAAACCATGATTTCGTGATTACAACCTCAAATAATCGCTGGCAGGACGGTACCATAAGTCCAAGAAAAAACAATGAAAGTGAAGGTTGTGATTTAATAGAGAACGAGAAATCAAAACTGAACACTGTACCAGCGACGATGACGTCGCGCGACAGGACCAATGAATTCGTTAACGCTATCCGAACGATGCAGAGCAGGACCACCGCTCGAACGGCGGTCATGCAAAATCCTCGTCGAGCACGACAATTGCAGAGCTACTCGAATTTCATGATGATAGCTAAGAGCATTGGAAAGAATATAGCAAGCACTTACACGAAATTAGAAAAGCTTGCTCTATGTAAGATTTGTAGCAAACATCTGATATTACTCTTTCTCAAACTTGTAACATATTGTACACTATTAGAAGAAGAAGACTATAGGAAAGAAATGTCTTAACACAGGAACAACTTCGTGGAATTCATTCTTAATTACTTCTACCTACAGATTTGTCTCACTGTTCTTCGCTATTGCTTTAATATTTTCTGACTATTAACAATTTATAAAATATTGACCGTCAAAATTTCTATTAATCGTATTATTATTCAAAATATAGAGAGAAAGAAGCTACATAATAACAGTCAGCGAATATTATTACTTTAAACAATTTGAAACGATATGTATTTCTTATATCAACTGTTCTAGTGGCCAAGAGGAAGTCAATATTTAACGACAGACAAATAGAAATTGAGGAATTAACAAATATTATAAAGACAGACCTGAAAAGTTTAAATTCCCAGATAGGAAAGCTACAGGAATACGGGAAGAAACAGCGAGACGTGTATGGCTCGCGTCAAAGCAACCATATGGCTTCGCATTCTTCTTCTATTGTTATGGCCTTGCAATCAAAATTGGCAAATATGTCGAATCATTTTAAGAGCGTACTGGAAGTGCGTTCGGAGGTACGTTGAAAGAAATGGATACAAAATATTATGAATTACGCGAAACAGAAACTATGAATTCATGAAAATTATTCTTGCATACAGAATATGAGAGAAGAGCAAAGTAGAAGGCAACAATTTACTCAAGGTTCCGTATCTACTATGCCACCTCCGAGCGTTTCTGGAAAGCAAGGATCGCTGCTATTTCAAGAACAAGATTCTTCCTCATCTGTAGCTATAGATTTAGAGCCAGCGATGGGACAGTTATCTTTGCAACAAGCAATTCAAGATGATACTGTAATACGTTTAACAAAAAATATATATATATATAGTAGATACATATTAGATATACTATGATAATATTAAAACGGGTTCTCTTTGTTAGGATGCATACGTTCAATCGAGAGCAGAAACAATGCAAAGCATCGAATCCACCATTGTTGAACTTGGTGGAATTTTTCAACAATTAGCGCACATGGTTAAAGAGCAGGAAGAAATGGTAGAAAGGTAAAAACAATATTTTTTCCGTAAATGCAACTATATTTACGATAAGCATAGCAAGATCGTTTAAATTTAATGCGATTCGTGAAAATTCGTTCAATTTCAGGATAGATACCAATATTGAACATACTGGATTAAATGTGGAAGCAGCGCATGCAGAAATATTGAAATATTTCCAATCCGTAACAAACAACAGGTGGTTAATGATAAAAATATTTGCGATTCTTATATTTTTCTTTATATTTTTTGTAGTGTTTTTGGCATAAAGTAATTGTTATGTTATTATGCAATTTCTTCACGCAATTTTGTAGTTGACCATCCATATCCATTTCTTGTGATACAAGATGATTGAAAAGTAAGATACATTTTTATAAAATTATGATTCATTAGTAATAGAATAATAATACATTTATTGCATTCCTTCACCTATCTGTTGACTTGTGAATATTGTAAGTATTAATTATTATAAATATACATCAATGTAGACTGCAAGCTACATTGTTGCCTGTAAAATGTAAAAAGGAAACTAGGTAATAAATGTATAATTTTCATTGTGTGGTAAATTTTCTATACTATTGTATACATATAATATATACAGAGTGTTTGGTCTAAAAGTATATACAATTGATAATTTTGGAAGTTA